TTTGTTGCCTTTCCTGTGAATAGCTGTTTTGAACATCTGGTGAAATTCTTGAAAACACTTGATTTTTAGTAATTTCAATAATGTGTAGTGTACCTGACACTCAGATTTGTACTCAGGTCTTTAAAAATCATTCTCACAGGTTTTTTTGCTGTGAAAGGAATCATAGTGAATTGATGAAGCAAGTGTAATGTATTAAAGTACAGTGTAAAACTAAGGCACAAAAGAAATGTAAGGAAATAGAAATCCTAGTCAGATGAAGATGCATTTGGTGGGGGGTTGGAGATATTGTGGCCACCTGCTTCAGCTCTGGAAAATGTACAGAAACCTTACTTCTGTCATCAAGGCTTGCTGAAACAGTTATTTGAAGCTGAGAGTATGCACTTAGGAAGCTGACACTTGTGCATAGTGCTTGCCTTTTCTGTGAGGCTTCCCTTTATCCCAGATGGTTTAGGAATGAGGAATCATAAAACTAGCAGAACATGGTACACTCCTGAATTCATCAGAAAAAGGCAGTCATGGAAACACTGTGGGCTTCCATAGGACTTGCCATATGTTAGTGTAAAAACGTGCTATTCCTTCTCAGTGAACGCTGAGCATCCTCGCAGAATAAAAATGCCGTGTAGCAGCCAATCTCTACAAATAACTCCCAATTGCTAAGTTGCTCTGAGTGAACTAATGGGGAAATTTAAAGGTGTTCAGATTTTAAAGTTGGAGGTGCATATCTCGTTCCAGGTACCTCTGAAATTCATAAAGCTTTTGTGTGTCAGTGTATTATTAGAAAGGCTTTTTGAGGCATTGAAAAGACTTAAGGGCTCAGGTGCTTTGGAGGCCAGACTGGAACTGCAGACACCTGGCTAGTGTCCTGCTGTCACAAGCTTTGTCTCAGTCATAGCTTTTATGCTCCAGTGCCCATATGAAAAAGTATGTATGTGTGAGCTAACCACAGGGTTATTAGCTGTTTGTTGGCCTATCTGTCTTTTCCATTATGAAGTCTGTTAAGTTCACAACAGTTTTGGGAAAAGTAAATGCAGGATAGATGAAAGACTGCGAGGTGCATATACCCTTTTGCCTTGGAACCATTTCTAATGATGTATTTCTAAAATACGTTTCAAGGGCTTTGTGGACATGAAGGCTTGAAGGTATAGGTGTAATTAATTTTCCTTACTGGCTTGTGTTGACAGTGTCACTTTAAGTTTAACTCCTGTTGCTTTCAGGAAATGAGATGAAGAAGCTGTGGTTTTGCAGTTTATGAGAATGTCAAAAGGAAGGTTTTCTTTTAGGGTCACCTTACTTTAACCTCATTGAAAAAGAGAGAAGAGAAAAAAAAAAGAGGGCGGGGGGAACAAAAAAAGTGCTGATTGTTACTTTCCCATTATCTGTAAATACAAAGTTTCCTGTATACCCAGTTGAATAACTCTCTAATGGGTTCACTATCTAACTGTCTCCTAGATGACTGGTCTGTACCTGTGGCCTTGTGCAGCTCCCTGGACTGGTGAAGACTACTTTCTCCTCTTGCCTCTGAGCTAGAAGGCAGTTACTGAGTTACTCAAGACAGGAGGAAGGTTTGGTTCAAAAGCCTCTGTCAACTCTATTAAGGCATAAATTTGACATTTAGTTTTTTTTAATAACAAATTCCCTCCTTACCATGACCAGAAATTCTGAAACATCCTTGCTTCTGAGCAACATTAAAAACTGAACTGTAAAATAACTGCTGCCTGGAGTGACATATGGTGTGCTTGTATGACTCTTGTCTACCTCATCTAAACTGTATCTCTTTCGTTTACCTTGCTAATTCTTCTGTGCTGTTTGTTAAAGGAAAGGTCAAATTCTAATCTGTCAGATTCACTCCCTGAGTGAATTTGGTATCATCTCTGTGGCCTTTCCTGTGATGATGATTTTGGACTAAGTGTGCTTATGACAACACACCAGACTAGGGCAGAGAAATTCGTCCAGACATGAAATTAGGTTTGTCCTTAAAGTACAGTAGGTGGTTTGGAATCCCAGAACACTTTCAGTAGGGTGGATTCAAAGTGAAAAATAAATTATCAGCTAGTCTTTATAATTTGCTATGGGGCCTCAGGCCTATATTTATGATACTTGCTGTATCTCGAGACTTTTCCTGTTGGCTTTTATCTTAATTACGTGGATGCTTGAAAAGTTTCTCATCATACTTCATCTTGTATTAATTTGAATTGTTTTTGCCATGCAGGTGAGGCAAAATCCTGCATGTTAGAATGTTCTGCAGAGCTGCAGATGATTAAATTTCCATCAGCTTTTTCTTGGATTTGATAGGGTTTTATAGGTGCGCGCATGAAATGGTTTTCACTTATTCTTTAGGTTGTGGCTTTGTAATTTGTTTTTGAGAATCTTCTCTGAAGAGAAGGATGACAAGTGTTGTCAGTCTGAAAATGTTTACTTTTACTATATGAAAATAAGCTTGAAGGTAAATTTGGATTCTGTTTAGAGTGGACTAATTTTTATTACAGACAAGATGTGGTCTTACTCCATGTTTTTCAGTCACAAAAGGAGCAATTAGAACTCTGTCATTTCTTGAGAGAGCTCAAGTGTTCCTGGAGCCAGTGTATGGGACATTTGAAGCACAAGCAGCCTGTTTACTTCTCTCAAGAAGTCCCATGGCTCTTTAAAGTGCTTTCATTTTTAACCTACTGAAAAAGGAATGTTGAAGATAAATAAATACTCTGATTAAGAAACTGATCAACCTCAGTTTTGAGAAAATGTGCTCTCAGAAAACATTTTCAATTTGAAAAGCTGGGCTTTCAGCTGTACAAAACTGAAAGATATTTGATTGGGTGCTTGCAAACTGTCAACACTATTTATCTGATGTTTTCATTTATGTAAGAATAGAACTAAGTACAAATTAAACAAGTTGGATGTGTTTGAGGAACCTGTTTCCCTGTTCTGACAATTAGGCTTTCTTCTAACTTAAAACACAGTATAGATCTAATCTTGTAGTACAAAGATGGTTCTTCTGATACATGATTCTATTTAAGTAGTGTCATATTCTTTGTTCATGGCTATTGGAATTTAATTATTAGCAGAACTTTGAGGTGATTCATTGCTATTGCAAGGGAAGCCTTTCTACAACAAGCATTCTGTATCACAGGGAAAAGCTCTTTAAACCCGCACCAGAACCCCCCACCCTCTCATAATAATTTTCTCACTGCAAAGCAAAAATCTAAAGGCTGTGTAAATTAAACCTTATATAATGAAACAGAGCTGAACAAATAAAATAGAGATTATATATATATTTTTTTTAATGTGGAAAAATTACTCAGTTTCAATTTTGTTTCATGAAATATTAGTTGCATTCGAAGGCTGAAAATTGTTTGTGCTTGGCCTGGTTTAATGTTCAATAATTGGTATTTCTGATTTATATGAAGAAGTTCTAAAACCAGCATCTCTCTGTTCTGGGACAGTATCAGTGAAGTGTTAGTTTTTTCATAGGTGCATTTTGGGGGAGGGGGTTTTGTGTGTGTGTTGTTTTTTTTTTTTTTTTTAAAAAAAACGATACATGAACAAAGATAACAGGTAACGCTTTATTCACTAATTTTATTATACGGAAGTTAAGGAAACATGTCTAGCAGTAGGGATCAGTCCTGTTAAAATGCGTCTGAGATTCCAGCTATGCTGTGGTTGTTACCTTTGTACTTCTGCTTTGTAGCCTTCTGCAAGCAGAGTAGTATCAGCATCCATTATTCTTGATTATTTTAAATTATAATATTCAGAAATGCAGAATCATGCCAACTCAATTGATAAGGAAATACTAAACCAATAAATTTATTTTTCTGTGCAAACTCTCGATCCTAGGCATTTCTACATGTGCTTCCTTTTCATTACTTATTTAAATGAGCTGTTAACAAATTCTGTAGTAACATGAAAGCTTAATCCTTGGATAAACTGGAAGAAGCAAAAATTACTCATGCTGCCTCAGTTTATATTTGCATTGATATGATTAAAGTGGAGGGTTCCGGTTTATGGGACTACTCAGTGCGTTTTTGATGGCTATTATAGTGGGAATTCACTATCTTATTAAAGCTGAACTTTCAAAAATTATTTCTGTGTCCTTTTCCACCTTCTGTTCTTTGATGGTGTTTGGTACATCAAAATTAATGAATTAGCTATTAGTTAATGCCAAGGTCTGTGAAAGACCAGTCTTTAATGATGGTTGATTGACACACATTGTAGAATTTTGGAGCATTTGGTGTGTGCCTTGTGGAAGGGAAGGAACAGTCTGACATGGTGGAAGTGGAGCCATCAGATGTGTAGAAATCACGAGCTTTCACTAATGAATGCAAATGAAAGTGCAGTATTTTTGACCTGGAATCCTGCTCCACAGTGACTCTGCTGTTCTTGATCGGAGCGTACAGGACTGAGATAATGTCATCAGTTGAATTTTCTGTGTGGTGTGCTTTCTTCTCTTGCAGTCCTCCTTGAATATTTTTCATTCTGTAGTATTATCTACTTTGAATTTGATCTGCAATGTGGTAACCATTCCGTTGTTATCTGTTTATGAAGTTGTGATCGTAGGACGTGACAATTCTTTTTCTCTTCTTCCACTACTCTGTTTAGCCTAGGCTTTTAGAAAAGGAGGCTGGAAAATGCAGTGACTTTATTTGCTATTGCAATAATATATTACAAATGGTGAATGATGTACAGAAGAAAAGGTGGATATATCAGTTACTGGGAAAAAAAAAAAAAAATCTGAGTGTCAAAGTATTCCAACCTATTCTTTGGGCTTCCTTCCTGGATAAAAAAAAAAAGTTGATTGCCACCCCCACCTCCCACCCCCTTTCATGTTTTTGGTAAAAATTACTATTTTACAGCTAAATTTGGCATCTATGACCTGTTAGCTATGTGCAGTGAAGTACACGTACACAAACAGAAATTTAAGTCCTTTCTCTTGCTTGGAAGCTTTATAATCTAAAGTGACGGTAGCTAATGTTTCTGTTTTGTTTTGTTCCCCCTCTGCCTCCTTTTAGATCCCTGCAGTTCACTCAGCCCACCGTGCTTTACTGAGGAGGACAGATTCAGCCTAGAAGCTCTCCGCATGATACATAAGCAAATGGATGATGACAAAGATGGTGGTATTGAAGTCGATGAAAGTGATGAGGTAGGAGTAAAAAACCTTCGCTCGTGCATACGTGAAGTCTGTCTTCCTCCCCTCTCCCCCCATTTTATATAGCTGCTCTTCATGTTCCAGCATTTGAGTAGTCCTGTTGTTCTAAATTCAGCCCTTTGACAGCCAAATATTCAAGGAAAGTCTAACTTCTAGAATTGTCTGAAATACAGTATTATTGTCCACTGTTCTGGCCTAAAGGAAAGTTTTATATGACTATGTATAAAACCTCTTATTTTTGTGATTAGTATAAGAGGTAGGCAAATGATGTTGGTTTAGCTTTCAGTGATGTGACCAAGAGTTGATGTGATCTGTCGCCTGGTTTTTTAGTTTCTTTGCTCCAGGGTTTTCTTACTTAAGGCATTGCTGGACTTTCCTATTTACCTTAGATCTGTTCCAGTCACTTCATGGTGCAAAACAATACCTGTTACTGACAGCAGTATAGAAAGCTTTCTTAGGTGTTTCTGCTTACATTTTACAGGCAAGTAGTAAACAGCTCCTGCTGTAGGTTAATGGTAGATTAAGTCCTAGGAAGGTTATTCAATCCTAACTGAAGTTTTTTGTGATTGTTCTCAAATAAGTTTGGTAGTCAGGCTCCTGGCTGTCCTGGTAAAGGGCTTGCCCTTGCACTTACTCAACTTTAACATCTGGATTCTCTGAGTTACTGGGTGGCAAATGGAAATATTCATGTAGTTTCATTGTTCTTGCTTCTTTTGCTTTCTGGCAGTTGTCAGGTACAGGCTTGAGAAAGGAGGGGGAATGAAGATGTCCCCTCATCTCCTGCCCCCTAAAAATGAGGGTATTGACATGTGGTTCTGAAGCCCATTCTCACTGGAGGCGAGTGGGAGAAGAATCTAGCCCTGATTTCTCTTCCATTTTTTGTAACATCCCAGGGAAGATTGTTCTCCCTGAATGAGTAAGTTGGGAATTATCATTGTCAAGTTTAATGCGATGCTACTTACTTTTCTGTGTGACTGTACAAACGACATCAGCAGTGATTGATGCTTGATGCTTGCTTCACAGGGCTTTTCTGAAGGTATACAGTACGATGGAGAGAATGGTTCAGAATAAAATAATGTACCTCTTAACTTTGAAGGGAAAAGATTTGCTCTGTACCTTAGGCAATGTCATGGTGAGGTAGGTCAGGCACTGGAAATAGTCTGTTTCTGTTACTGAGAAATGTTTGGTTATTGTCATTAATGTTTGGGACAGGCACAATCCTGTCTGCAAACTGAAATATTAGTGATAAAGTGTGAGCTTCCTGAGGAGCTTCTCAGCACTGTGTCATTGTCTTGACTTGTGCTGCATTTGTTATACATGGAAGTTAAGAAAGTTAAAAGAAAACACTAAAATATTTATACTTTGGAAACTTCTTATTAGTATACAAAAGAGCTGTCCTGGTTTTTATTGGACCATCTTTATATCCAACCTTAAGTTTCTTCCTGTGCCAGAGGAATGTCATAGATTGATAGAATGGTTTGGGTTGGAAGGGCTTGTAAAGATCATCTAGTTCCAGTCCTCCTGCCATGAACAGAGACACCTTCCTCTAGACCCGGTTGCTCAAAGTCCCGTCCAACCTGGCCTTGGATGCTTCCAGGGAGGGGAGAGCACATCTTCTCTGGGCAACCTGTTTTAGGGCCTCACTACTCTCACTGTAAAGAATGTCGTCTTTATATCTAATCTAAACCTACCCTCTTTCTGTTTAAAACCTTTTACCCCTCATCCTATCACTACCTGTCCTGATAAAATCCCTTCCCATCTTCCCTGTAGGCCCTCTTTAAGTACTGGAAGGCCCCTCTATGAGATCTCCCCAGAGTCTTCTCTTCTCCAGGCTGAACAACCCCAAATCTCTCATCCTGTCTTCATAGGGGAGGTGCTGCAGTCCCTTGATCATTTTTGTGGTGGTCCTCTGAACTCACTTGAGCAAGTCCTTGTCTTTAAGCTGGAGGCCGCAGAGCTGAACACAATACTCCAGGTGGGGTCTCACATGAGCAGAGTAGAGGGGGAGTATCACCTCCCTTGACCTGCTAGCTATGTTTCTCTTGATGCATCCCAGGATACGCTTGGCTTTCTGGGCTGCGAGCACACATTGCTGGCTCATTGTTGGTTTTTCCCTCTCCTGATACCTCCAAGTCCTTTTCCTCAGGGCTGTGCTCAAGCCACTCATCGCCCAGCCTGTATTTGTGTGCAGGACCTTGCACTTGGCCTTTTCAAATTTCATGAGGTTTGCACGGGCCCATCTCTCAAGCTTGTCCAGGTCCCTCTGCATGGCATCCCTTCCCTCCAGCATGTTGATTGTACCACACAGCTTGGTGTTGTTGGCAAGCTTGCTGTGAGTGCACTCAATCCCACCGTCCATGTCACCAACAAAGATATTAAACAGCACTGGTCCCAGTACCCTGACTCCTGAGGAACGCAACTGGTCACTGCTCTACACTTGACATTGACTGCAACTCTTTGAGTGTGACCATCCAGCCAATTCTTTATCCACCGAGTGGCCCATCCATCAAATCCATGTGTCTCCAATTTAGAAACAAGGATGTTGAGATAAACCAAAGCAACAGAAGCTACTCTTAAAACCTGTTAATATGACTGAAATTAGAACAGCTCATGGGGGATACTGTTATAGCTGGGGTAATGAGATGAGTGAAACTGCATTCAAACTGCTACTCACAGTGTTTAAAATAAGATGACTGAAATGTAGCTCTTTTCGGATAGCTTATTTTTAAGTATTGAAGAAATATTTAATAACCCTCACAACTAGATTTTTCTATGTAGTTTCCATGCAAATAAGTGATGAATATGTATTTTCATAGAGTGTTTTCTTCTAAGACATTCAAAGTAACCTGAAATTTTTGAGAAATGCAATTTAATTGCAAGTTCAATTAGTAATCTGTATGTTCTTGTTGTAGCACTCTTACTGGTTCTTTGCCATAATCTTAAAAGATCTGACATTTTAACAACATAGCTACATAGTTAATTGATTACAGTAGGTCTGAATATATACTAAATGTCCTAATATGCAGTATTTCAAAACCAGTTTTTTTGTTTTGTTCTGTCACAGTGGGTAATGCTGCTTCTTTTGATTAAGAATGAGGAGTAATAATTAAAAAAACTTAATTAGAAGTAAAGCTTAAATGAAATACAGGGATTTTAGTTAACAGCAGGGTAATGGATTTCCTGTTTCATGCTGCATGGATTTTGCTTGCAAGTCTCCTGTAAGAGCAGTATATTGCACATGTTGATTAGATACTCATTGGATTTTTATTTGATGGGAAAAATGTGACAAAGTAAAATAACTTTCTGCTGTTTTACCAGCACTAAAACATTGTTACAGATACTTTGTGTATATTTACACAAAGGAAGAAAGTTCTTGTAAATAAGTTATTTTGAGAGGAGGGAGGTAAGGAGAGCTAAAGATGTTGAGCTACTTATTTTCACTCCTTTAATTTGCTAATCCAGTTGAGAAGTCCCAACAGTGGTCCCAGACATTTCATCAGTATGCTGTTATTTTTCCTTATGTTCCTTATGCCTTTTTTATGTTGTAGCTTCTTTTTCTTCTGTCAAATGAAGTCTCACATAAAATAATTCTGTAGAGAATGGGTTTCTTTTATCCTAAATAAAATTGAACTCTTACAAGAAACCTTTTATTCCCTCAAAAATTGTCTGATACTGGAAGCCTTTTGGATCTGTCTTGTGTGGACTGGAAAGAAGCTTGTATTTGACCTTGATGAAATTGATGTAGATTTTTAGCATGGGATTTATTAGTAATTGAAACACATGAGGGATTTGTTGAAGTCTTCTAAGGAAGATAGATGTGCTCTAGTTTGAGCATGAGCTAGTTAAATATTTTTTTCCTTATTCTTTTGGTCTGTGACCCAAGTTAGACTAGGTGGTGTAACGTAAGAGATTATAAAGATGAAAAAACTTGAGCTTTTAAATTCACTAGAATATACTTTTCTAATTCTAGTTATTACAAAAGACTTGGGAAAAATAGCTTTTGTCATAGCTACTCATATGTTTGGAGCTGTTTTTGCATTCAGAATTCACGTAACTTTCTAGTACTTACCCTGAATTTTCAGTGTAGAATTAAGTACTTCAAAACAAGAAGTGTAACTGAAAGAAAATAACCAAATGGTTTAGGTATTTATGTTGTACTTTAAAGTAGAGAATGTTTTACTGTGCAGTTATTAATTTCTGTAAAGTAGGCTGTCATACTGTGGAAAGCAGGGAGTATGGCACAGCGGAGAAGAAGAAAAAGGAAGGATGTGGAAAAAGACTATACTTATCATTAGGGCAGGCTAATATGAATTTTTCTATCAAATCTAGCACCTCCAATTATTACTTTATTATTAACATAAAAAAGATTGCAATATTTTAAACTGGTTTAAAGAGATAGGCTGTAAAAGGATAACCGAGGGGGGAGAATATATTACTAACTGAGGTTTTAGTCATGTATTGTGGGAGGCTGTCTGCCTTAGGAAGCATCTGTTGCACCACGTGTACATGGTTCATTTTAATGATGAAGAGGTAAAAATAGTAAGACAGACTTAACATAATGACTACATAGGTTTTTCCTGTTTCTAAAGAGCCTCTATATGTAGATCCTACATCAAGTCATTTCCTTGAGGAATCTCTCTGTAGAAATAGAATAAGTTGATGTTATTGAAATACAAATACCTTACTGTGTCTAACGTCACACAAAGCTAATGGCATGAATTTATAGCTTTGTGTGGGATCTTTGGATAGATCACTTAATATCTTGTTTGAGTTTTTTTGAGTGCGCTTGCATAATTACTTAACACAAAATACCCTAACCAAACAAACCCCACATATAAAACCTTTGAAAAAAAAGACAAAAAACACTGTGCAGAGAGGAAGAAACTGCAGTACTGAAAGCATGAAACAATCAAAGAATGGCTTTTAACAGTGTGGTCAAAGAAGATGGAACCTCAGGGGTGATATGCAGAAGTATCTGACTTAAAATGTTGTCT